CATACATTGTACATTTGTTTCCGGATAATTTGATATATGTAAATTCTGAAAGAAAGCATGTATTTCAACTGACTGGGCAGGAGATTTGATTGAAGGCTGTCAGTTGGCAAATATGAAATCGATTATTTTCACAGCTCCCCAATGGTGATAACTATAGTCTACCAGGCAAGTACAGTACAGTACAGTACAGTACAGTACAGTTATGGTAATTAAGAAGTTTGTGACAAATTGAGTCAGACTGGGCACAGATCATGTACAGATCGTTTATTTACTGCTGTGACAACTTTCTTGAATTACAATGCCAATAAAGTGGTTCCATTGACTTGATTTGTAGATAGATATGCTAATACATATAAGATTGTTAAAATTGATCACAGTAGTGGTTGTTACAGCAGACCCATGATGTAGATTTTCAGTTCAATTCCTACCCAGGGTGCAAAACAATGCGCTTGACAAGAATATTCAAATTGGGTATTGAATTGAAGATTACAAAGCTTGAGCAAACATTTCTGACAAGGCTCCTTTGTAATTAAAAACATGGTCTACCACCCACACCAAACAGAAGGGATGCGGCTTCAATTAGAGCATCTACACATATGAGAAATTGTGAATGTTTGGTACTCAATTGCTAAAAAAGAATGGCTGCGACTGATATTAGAAATGCGGCTTCTAATACAGATTTTACAGTACGGGTACCTATGGTTGATTCAGCTGCTATGGATGATGACTATGTTTATATGCATGTACAACTTCTCATTTCAATGTTTGTTTGAAACCAAACTTTTCAGACAACCATTAAGGTAGCGAGAAGGGTTTTGTTAAGTTTTCAAATAAAACATTCTCTGTCTGTTGTCTCGTTCAGAACAGTAATTTAGCTTATATATTTCAAAAGTATAGAGGTACAAGTTCGCACAAACTGGACAGTCATTGTTTACATAATTATCACGTGACATCAAAAACGGCGAACCTTGTAAAAATGACTAAGTGCGCGATTGCGAGAGCACACAGCAGAATTTCCTGGTGAAATTTACGTCATGCATTGTCCGTAATCAAGTCCATTGAAATGCGTCTCCAATAATCAAAATACCTATTATTCCGATTTCAATGCAGGTTTGTTTTTTTGTCCCCAAATTATTTCATACTTGGCACCTTTAACGGACTATTATTCTGAGACAAACCATTTTCTTTAAAAACCCAGAAATATTTCGCACCATCATTATCTTTTGAACGATAACTGCGAGTTTGAATGTCCTAGTTCGAACGCACTTGATTTGGCGGCGGTCCAAATGAGTGTACTCAGTCAAAACTTCAACTCGAGAAAAACGCGAAAAACAGTTTTGAATAATAAAACACTGTAGATTTGCTGCATTATTATAAATATACACTAAAAATGGCCAAACATTTAACCTCTGATATCATAGAACTCATAAAGATGAATAATTTCAAGCTCAAGCGTGAAAAATGGAGAAAACTGCTGGCATTTGAGTCCGTACTCCAGGAACGTTCGGGTTTCCATTGTTATGCAAACGAACAACGAGGGATAATCCTCTGACAAACATTACTGTACACGCCGACAGTTTACAAACAAGCTAATCCTTCAAGTGTCTCTGATAAGAGATCTAATAAAACGGTTTTCATGGTGAAACAAAATGGCCGATGTTTGAAAAAAAATTGCTGTTTCAGATTGCGGCACTGAATGGCAGATTTTTCTTTGCCTCGTCTGTCAACGCTTTCTTTTCTTCGTCATTGCGTTAGTAAAAATGGTATTAGCAAAATAGAATACTGACTTGGAAAATAAAAAGATTGAAAAGAAAGTTGCGCAAAGTTACATTACTTATATCGCACAACCTCTCGCTCGCTCGCTTACGCTTTCCAATCACCTTTTTCTCTCACTTTTGCGACCGCTTGTTGAATTTGACCAGACAATTTCCGCTTTGTTTTCGACCGTGCAAACCCCGAAATATCAACGATGCAACTACAACTAGCCATTTCTTACCTTGAAATGACATTTTTTGGCAACTTCCGCTCTAAAAAAGATTGAAAATGTGGGTGTGGTTCTTTTGCGAGGTCACAGTTCAGTTGCTTTCACGATACAACTATTAGATTTGAAGTGTCGCTCAGAATTTAATAATAGTGAATACTAGTTGTATGTTCACACTTTACTATCAAAACCACCATTTCGACCACTCATGTGCCAGTGATCAGTGTTTGGGCGAGCCGTCGGTGAGCGAGCGAGCAAAAAAAACGCGATTAAAATGCGGACAATTTCCAGTCGGACAAGACCGCATGGTCAGAAATTAAGCGATAAGCGGTCGATGTAAAAGCGGAAGGTTGGGCGAAATGAGTACTGTATACCCGGACTGTATGACCATGTTTCTCCGACGAAGTCTTGACTGACAATAATACTGACAATAGACGTTAGATAAACACGCATTGTTTGCAACGACAATTTCGATCTTTTGTAAACCTGGGATGATGTATCAAGGTCTAAATTAATCGTTTTATCAATTTTTGAAAAATCTTAAGGACTTCAAGAATTCAATCATCTAGGCATTTTTGAAAATTTATCAGGGATATCTATTGGCTTGGAAAAATCATTACTTGTAATTAAAAACATGGCCTACCACCCACACCAAACAGACAACGAATGGATATGATACATAACAACAATTTATTGGTGCAATATTCCACTAATATGTAATTTATTCTCTGCAGACAACGAAGCATGTGGGCAACTGACTGTCAAGTATGCCATCTGTGTAAAGTTCACTTCCACACCCTGGTCAGTGTTTACCGAGTTTTTCATAGCAACAGATCAGTAGTCTCCATTCTCTTTAAAAGAGGTTACCTTACTAGTTTCAGTATATTAATCAAATCAGCTTAGTCTTCAATTTGTGTACAGATGTTGAGTCATTTACTTAAATAAATTAATCAATTAAGTAAAGTTAGTTAAAACTGATGATAGAATAAACACACACAGTAGTGATCCTTTTGTACAAGAATTTTACAAAAAATACTAGGCAAAAACACCCACTAGAAAAACAAACCAATACATAAACACATTCTATTTTTGATGTGTAATTATATCAGCAATCTCTGGCAGGAGAGCATACCAAGAGGCTGGTGACAATGCATATTTTGTAACTACTTTGACCTCACTTGACCTGATGATAGGCCTCTCAGGCCATGGTGTCATGACCCCACAAAATCTAAAGTATTGAATGCCATGAGACTGTTGATTGGTAATTCAAAGACTGGCCCAAGATAACTACTCCGAAAACAAAAATTGTATCTCACTTTCTCCAAAGCAAGTACAGGACTCGGTTAAACACAAAATATAAAATGGTACCATAAAGGAATTGTTTCCAAAAACTACTAACAAATTGAAATAACTAGTCAAAATGATTAAGTGAATCCAAAGTAGCATAGCTACATAGATATTTTGTTTTTCTACCAGTTTTTACCACTGCCCAACATACCGATACTGGGTAAAACCTTGAACCCTGGGTCCTGATCATTAAAATAAGATTCCAGATCTGACTCTTTATTATGGTCAGATGAACAGAGACCCCTTTATTGTCTGAGAATAACTGAACCACCGAGCTACAGTAAAAAAAAAGAAGAAAAGAAAAACTGTTTTTAATCCAACTTTTGTTTTGAGCTAATTATTCTTTTGCATACACAGTTCACACACATGGATGTGTTAATAAGAGGGGATTTGTAGTGATAATAATATGTTTCATATTGTGGAAGTGTGATCATAAAAATCATAAAACATTGCACTGGCAGTTTTAAAATCTTAAGAGAAAAATAGAAATGTAAACAACATCATATTTGATGACTTTTTTGTCATAAGACGATTTTTCTATTTTTAACACATGAATGTAATTGTAAATTTCACACCCTTTTCACTGACAAACCTGTTAATTTCATGCGAATGACAATGCAATGAAGTTCTTTGCCAATCACAGCATTTCCACTCAATTCCAGTATGTGTTGATAACAACCATGATGATGTAACTTCCATAGTTTTACAAAAGTTGAATTTTGAGTGCTACAAACAATTCTTTTTAGCTGACTGAAGAGCTTACTTCATTATCATTCTGCTCGGGCATACTACTAACTTGAAAACAGGTAGCAAAATGAACCGAAGGTATTTCATTTTCCTCCGTTCACGCCCATTTTTGATGTCATGTCGATATTTAGTAGAGGGTTACTGAATGCAAAACTGTTGATTTGAATATTTACGTCCAGTAAACCCCTTCCCTTGATAAACCTTCAAAAGAAATAGTCACCAGTAGTCATGGTTACAATAGCATCAATAAGAATTCACCTTTTTTTACAACCACAAACTGGACTGAATTAGTATATGTCAAATGACATAAAAATACCCATTTTAATTATAATACATAATAAATAGTATAGGCCCTCTTCCAGACACATATATATGTAGTTATCTGAATGAGTATGAACAATAACACATACATTAGAGGGTCAGAGTTAAGTGTTCAGGTTATGTTTCAGGCTAAGGGTGCATGGGGGGGGGGGGCTAAAAAGATTACAGAACCCCAGATGACTTCCAGAAATTACTGTCAAATCAAAACAGGAGATGGAAATTAAAATTCATTAAAAAATAATAAAAGCACTTCAGAGTTCACTTACAGCAATTTTCAATAAACATACTATTTGGAGTCTGTTATGCATGTGTGAAACGTGCAACAACGTGTAAACCCGCACCAAATATGCACTGGCAGATTGCATCATCGCATGGAAGCAGGCGAGTCCCAGAATCCTTCACAGTAATATAGACTTTTAAACAGGTTTCTTGTCGTATGTTCCATGACTGCGACAAACAACCTCATTATAAATTAAACTATGTCATTATGCTGCACAATTTCCATACATTATATTTATAAACAAATACACACTCAGACTAACTATTCTCCACACGCGATCACCCAAAATATGACTGCGACACCATTTTACCAAACGTCACTCACCTAAATGCAATGGTCAAACATTCAAACAATCTACTAAGCGATGCATCGATCTGTGATACGTTCGAAGCAGCAGCTTTCTGTGCCACAAAGTTATAGTCCTTAAAAGTGTTTGTGGTAGCTTTACTGAAATCGTAGCCTTTATCATGCACGTCGCTGACCATAAAATGACCCGAGTGAATAGTTTCCGATTTGCGACGCGTTTCTGGCTCTGGTTCGTCACATTTTGGTGAGCCTGCCATCGTTACGTCGTCAAAGGAAAACATGAAATAGTTCTGGTCCATGTAATCTATATATTTCTCACTTCCTACGGGTAGTTTATCCACACATTCAAGAACATAACACGAGAACTCATTGCAGCCTGCATAGCCGCCATATTTGATATGAGAAGCGATGTTCTCATTTGCATACATAATGACCCAGTAAAGACTGGCTTCGCGGATATAGCATAAGTCGGAGCTCACCAGGACTGCACTAAATTTGTGTTTATATCATACACAAATGTTTGTTGAATCCCAAAGAATAGAACAAACTGTGCCCTAACTCTGTACACATTGAACACGTCAATTGGTAAATATATTGTACAATCGATAATAATTCTTAATTTCGGTGGCGATGCATTTGTTTGGAAGTTGCCGTAGATGGCGCTAACAACTAGATCACCAACTAAACGAGCAAGTCTAACATACAGTTGGGATTAGGAAATAATAAAAAAATGATTAGTGATCTAGATATTTGACTTTTCAGCCTTCAGGTGAATATGGTATCACTCAGTAAACGACCCGGACAAATCAAGTCTATTGCTTGTCTAACATGGTCAGCTATGGTTATTGCGCCCTCCCCGACGAATTCAGACTGGGCATGTAAGTCTTATTCTCTACCACGAGTCCCAGGTAACAGTGACCGCAGGATGGCGCGTCTGTCACAATAACGCTTATTTTATTCCGTGACGGAAAACCAGAATACCAGGAAACTGAAAAAATAGCTTTTCTCACTTTAGATTGTATTCCATTTTTCCACAGCTTCTGTACAGTGCCCCATATTTCCAACATTCTCACTGTGACCCATCCGATGTAGGTAGACGAATCTAACGTTATTATAACGTTTGTATACTATTATAAGATTGCGTTGTTACATGGAAAATATGGCACATATATAAAAATAAGTAAAATAAATTACATATCTGTAACCTCCACAGACGGATAGACCTGTTGACTTTTATGTTTTATTTGAATAATACCTGACCACTATAGCATATTTGTTTCCTGGTTATGATAGATTTCGTTGCCACACTAAAAAGGTAAAAACAACTAAATTAAAAAGCATTTATTTCAGAAAAAAGTTCCGACGTAGTCAGT